TCCTTCTGCAGAACATCTGGTGGGTTTGAACCACCAACCTTCTGGTTAACAAATGCTTTGGCACTGTGCCAGCAGAGCTCCTGTATAAAACATTAATATGTTTAAATTGTTGACTACCAATGAAGATTTTTCTGCCTCTATTATTTTGCTTAATTACTGTTCATCTACAGGATAGGGTTAGTTTTGAAGGATGAAAGGTTATGTCTAGGTAATTTATAAATGAAGAAGCCAATGGTTCACTTACCAATGATTATTAAACAAGATATTTAATAATCCACTTTCATTTCTGTCAAGTTCCTGTATCTCTAGTGGTATACTAATACTAATTTGTGTTTACAAAAGAGCCAGTCATATTTATTTTATTGCACCAATCATCCTCTTACCAAACCAAGTTGAGTTCCTTGACTTGGTTCTACACTCTGAAATGAGGACAAGGATATTATTTCTAGTGAGGTCCTTCACTACTGACCAAGATCTCTGGGTCTCTGTTTCTTCACTTGTAAAAGGGGATTCAGTCCAGCAACCCTAGGCCCTGAGATGATCTGTAAGATCCTGCACAGTTGTCATTTATTGTAGGACCCACCTTAAAACTGGAAGGAAATCCAGTGACTAAAACTGAGCATTTTCCCAAATATCGTTTTCTCAAAATTTGGATCTGTTAGATTTGAGCTTACAGGGAGGTTTCATGTGCTCAGAGAACATATCTCTATCTACCAAATATATGTGGGTGATGTTTTGTTTGTTTGCTTACATTAGAAGTCTCCTGCTGTGAAGGTTGCTCACTTTAAAGGCTGCATGGGAGAGGCCTTCTTGAATGGGAACTCTATTGGCCTGTGGAATTACATTGAAAGGGAAGGCATATGCCATGGCTGTTTTGGAAGGTAACATTTCCCTACTACTCAACACAGTGAATCATTCTCTTAACATCTAAGAACTGCTTGGAGAATTTACATCCACATCAAAAGGACTGATAAACTTTTGATGCCATCATCTTATTGTAAGGGATATGACATAGATTATTCACTAACAGAAGCATGGGAATAATTTTAACCTTTAAAAAGAAATGTTCTTTTTGCTATATCTTGTATACTTTGATCATGAATCATAAATTCCAGGAGCTTCAGGCATCTAATCAAACAACATTCTATCTCAAAGAATCACAGATAAGCCATCTTGGGTACATTGCTACATGTTTTTCTTTTGAAAATACTTCCAAGCATTTGATTCTTTTTCTTTATTCCTCTTTGAATATATTAATATGCTTCTTACCTGGTATCAGCATATTTTTATCATTATGAATAATCTCTTAAATTCTTAAAGGATATTATAAAACTAACCCCTGATTCTAACAACTCTCATTTACATATAAAAAAAAATTATTTAATTAATAGGCATAATCCTAAGAAGTGACAGTGCAGTAGAGCATTGGCCAAATGGCCCACAACATTTGTGAGTCATTTAATTAAAATCCTAGGGTGTTCCAGGCCTTATGGTAGGAACTAACAATGTCAAAACTAGTAAGACATCTGTCTCCTCAAATATCTCATAGTCTAGGGAAAAATAATACATACAGAAACATGAAAAAGTGCTATGATCTGTGGCAAGTGGGGCAACAGTAGCAGAAGCAGCTGCATTAGACTTGGGGCTCAGGTATCACCTCACTCACTTGCATAACAACTGCACAGCAGGCTAACCAGGAGATACAATGTGTTCCAATCTTATGAATGAGAAGTTTGAAGACCAGAGAAGCCTAACAATTTTTCCAGCCTCACAGGGCTGGAGAGCTGGGAAGGTGCATTTCAGCCCAGCCCTATCTGACTCCGGAGTTCGCATGATTAACCACTGGGCTATGGTGCTTTCTGAAAGGCTAGAACAGAGATATACATGAAGTGCTATGAGTAAGCAGTTTTCCTTTTGTCCTTTGCCTCTTACATAAGCAGGGGCCCCTGGACTGACTGCACAGGCATGTACACCTCGTGAGCATAGGACAGAGCCTGCAGTAGCTCTAGAAAAAGCTCAGGAAGTGATCAGCATGGGGACATGGTCAGAAACAGGTCCTTGACCACAGTGGCAATTAGCCTTCCAGAAGAAGCCTTGTCAGTCACCCGTTCATTTGAATTCATAACACTTCATGGCCACTCCCTTGAACAGGACCTACTTAGAAAGAGAAGGCAGAACGAAATACGAAGTCACAGAGATCAGAGACCTCAGGAGCTCTGGGAGAAGGAAGGGGTGTGCAGGGTGGGATAAGCACAGATTTCTAGTTTTGTTTGAAACTTAGCTTCTCTATTTCCCTGGGGTATACCCTTGGGCAAGGTACTTATTTTTAAGGCTTCATTTTCTAATAGACAAAGTGGGGATAATAATACCTACCATGAAGGCTGGTTGTTGTTGTTGTTGTTATGTGCCATCGAGTCAGCCCTGACTCATAGCGACCCCTCCTTGGGTTTCCGAGGCAGTATCACTACGGAAGTAGGATTGCCCAACCTTCCTTCCGAGGAGTGGCTGGTGGGTTTGAACCGCCAGCCGTCTGGTTAGCAGGCAAGTGTCTTAGCCACTATGCTACCAGAGCTCCCTGAAGGTTGGTTAGGAAAACTAAACCAAAAACAAACTCACTGCCATTGAGTCGAATTCAACTCATAGTGGCATTGGGACTTGATGCTGTGAAACTTTAAGGAAGCAGACTGCCTCATCTTTCTCCCATGGAGCAGCTGGATGGTACAAACTACCGACCTTTCAGTTAATAGCCAAATGCCTTAAGCACTACACCACCAGAGCTCATTCTGAAGACTAGACAGGACATAAATAAAAGCAGCCTGCATAGCACATAGTAACCACTCAATAGATGGTCAGGACTGTGCAAGCCCAGAGACTTATCTCTCAACAAAAATACACACACAACTAGTTGTCAAACTTTCTCTCCAACCACTCACTCTCTTCCCAAGGACTTCTGAATACAGCAAAATAACAAAAGCTGAAATAAAGTGAGATTTTCCCATGTTCTAGGACCTGTTATAAGTGCTTTTCATCATTTCATTTGTATATAAGTTAGTTATAGCCCTTCCCAGGAGCTCTGGTGCCATAGTGGGTAAGGCACTTGGCTGCTAACCAGAAGGTCGGTGGTTGAAACCCACTAGCTGCTCCATGGAAGGAAGATGAAGCAATCTACTTCTATAAGGATTTACAGACTTGGAAACCCAATGAGGATCACTATGAGTTGAAATCAACTCAATGGCAGTGGGTTTGTTTTTCTGTTTTTGGTATAGCCCTCCCAAGAGATACTCTTATCTCTATAGATATAATATATAAAGCACAGAGAGGTAATGGTTTCAGGTTCACACAGCTAATAATTATAGAACTGCGATTTGAACTCCAGCAGTCTGGGTCTATAGTCTTTGTCCTTAGCCACATGTAACTGGGGTCAGTCAAGAGATAGTGCAATGGAATATAGTTCTGGGAAACCACAGGGTTAAGAATCAAATCATAGTTTTAAAATGAATGCAGAGTGCATTTCCTTTATGTTATATTTCTTCGAAGAGGAGAAGCAGAACTGCATGTAGCTATGTATTTGAAACCTCTGATTTTCACAATGCATTGCTATTTTTGTTTTGGCTTTTTTTTTTTTTGTTGTTAATGGAAACAATTTCACCCTTTGTCTATGCTGACCTGCTTTGAAATGGTATACTGAGTTTGGTTATAACATCTTCTATTGGGAAGATACCCCAAATTCATATCCAAACACCCAAATCGAAGTTTCACTTTCAAATCCTGTGATATTCTAGAAAAAGTTTGGAAACATAATTCTGATATGTTCCAGATTAACTCAATTATAATTGAATAGTAGTCAGCTTTTGAGATCAATAAGGGAAAAGATCAGACAAGATTACCCAAAAGATGCTGTGGCCCACACTGTGTAACTGTATTGTAAGCCACACATTTTGTTTTAAAATATGAGTCAAAATGCCATCAAGTTGATTCTGATTCATGGCAACCCTATATGACAGAGTAGAGCTGCCCCATAGCGTTTCTAAGGCTATAAATCTTTATGGATGCAGACTTCCTCATCTTTCTTCTGTGGAGAAGCTGGAGGGTTCGGACAGCCAAATGCCTTAACCGCTGCACCACCAGAGCTCCTTCAAAATATGATACAGGTCTTTAAACTCATCATGTAGATTTTTGAGGTTGCCAAAGATTTTTTGTAAAATGAGCCTTCTGATACTTTGATACATACTTGTTTTCTATTATAACTCCAGTCTAATTGATGCCTGAGTTAATACCAGCAGAGGGGGGTACAGTATAATGTAAAAAATATTCTGAAAGAACAGGAATTAAGAAAAGAGTTGTACTATAGGAAATGAGAACAAACAAACAGGAAAATCTAAGGATAATTAAAAATATCTATAATCATTATCCATTCTGTGAAGAAGTTTCTTTTCACTATAGTGAACACTGCCTATATCAACTTTGTTTCCCTTTTGAAACAGTTGAGCTCTAGTCTTGACCCATATTTTTAAATATTATCTCTTACTCTTATAATCAGATTATGAAAATAATAGCTCACCAAGATGTTTGTGTAGGAAAACTCAGTAAATGTATCATTTTTTTCTCTTTAACCACCTTATTGAGAGTGGATTGTGTTTCTCTTGCTCTGCTCTGCAGTCCCCAGAATGAAGACTCCTCCTTCCATTTTGATGGGAGTGGATATTCTGTCGTTGAGAAGACCCTCCGGGCGACTGTGACACAGATAATCATGCTCTTTAGTACCTTTTCACCTAATGCGCTGCTTCTTTACCTCGCTTCAAATGGCACTGTAAGAGTCTTTATGGCGCACGAGGCCATACTGTGTACTGACTGATATGTAGATGGTTGTGTGGACATTTATGTGTAATAGCTGCTTTATGAGCATCTACTAGCATGCTATATGCATACATATATATGTATAATTAGGAGCTCTGGTAGCGTAGTGCCTAAGGTACTTGACTGCTAACCAGAAGGCTGGCAGTTCAAACCCACCAGCCACTCCTCGGAAGGAAGATGGGGCAATCTACTTCCGTAGTGATACTGTCTCAGAAACCCATGGAGGGGTCACTATGAGTCGGGTCTGACTCGATGGCACATAACAACAACAACAACATATGTATAATTTCCCACATTTTAAATAATTTACTGAATTAATATAAGTTCACTGAAGATCATTTGGAAAATATAGAACACAAAGTAGAAAATAACTTTCCAGTCATTACTAATATCAATTAAACATTTGTTACTAAATTTTGAGTTTAAATAGTATACATTTTTCTATGTTCGCTCTGACCATAGTGGCTTTATTTGAATTCTATTCAACAGAAATTTTTATTCCTATTTTATCTCATGTGATTGTGGATTCTTAGTGCTGGTGATTTCTGTCTCTCAATCTTTCTGTTTTCTTTTTTTGGGGACTGGCCCATTTGTCATTCTACATGAAAGAAGTACAAAGAGATTCCAGTTCTCTTACTCAATTATAGATTGCGACAATGAATAGTGTTTCATTTGTATTTTTGTAATAGTCTAGAAAAATATTCATGAGCATTTTTAATTTCATAGCCTAGACCTCCAGCTGTTGGGCCTAATCCATTTTTTTCAGTTTGACTTTAAAAGGTGTCTTCTACCCTTATCTTAAAGGGAAAGAAAATCTTGTGATCAAGATGTAGTCATGGATAACTATTTTCTCAACCCTCCAGAAAGATTTTTTATCCATCGAGCTGGTCCACGGCAGAGTTAAAGTCACAGTTGACCTGGGTTCAGGACCTCTTGCTCTTATTACAGACAGACGTTATAACAACGGAAGTTGGTACAAAATCGCCTTCCAGAGAAACCGAAGACAAGGTAAATACCTACGTAGATAACTGTGATGTTGCCCTCCCTAGTCGGCAAAGAACTCTTTCTAAAAAAAAAAAAATCAACACCCTAGTCTACTTTCATTTCCTGAATGATACTCTAATTGAAAGTTCTTGTTGTCATGAGGATAGCAACCAATAAGATTCATGTTTTGCTTGAGGAATATTATATTTCTACTAGTATATAGGACCTCTGGTGGTGTAGTGCCTAAGGCATTTGACTGCTAACCAGAAGGTTGGTGGTTCAAACTCACCAGCCACTCCTCGGAAGGAAGACTGGGCAATCTACTTCTGTAGTGATACTGCCTCGGAAACCCAAGGAGGGGTCGCTATGAGTCAGATCTGACTTGACGGCAGTGGATTTGATTTGGTAGTTTACTAGTATATATTTCCAAATGATTTATTTAAGTACAAGAGTCATATTGAAATCAAGAATCAAATTCATTCTACTGTCATCTGCACACATACTATTGTCATTTAGCAGTATGTAGTCTAGATTCATTGACTTCTGTACAGAGAATTTACATTTTTTCCTTTAATAGTCAAGAGCATTAGCTGGTCAGATTTGCAGAATATAAAATAATATGTCTCTGTAAATTAATTTTGCTTGACAGACTTACTCTAGAAAGGGCATAAGTTGAGTTTCATTTTAAGGTTGAGTTTCATTTTAATCCAGAAAGTGATTTTCATTTTCTTAGCTATTCCTTTCTGTCTCCTTTTAGGACTTCTGGCAGTTATTGATGCCTATAATACCAGTTATAAAGAAACAAAGCAAGGCGAAGCTCCAGGAGCATCTTCTGACCTCAATCGCCTAGATAAAGATCCAATTTATGTTGGTGGATTACCTAGATCAAGAATTATAAGGTATGATATTCAACTGCAGAAAACATGTCCTTAATTATCAGCATTTGTTTTAACTACTATAAAACCAAAAACCCACTGCCATCAAGTCAATTCCAACTCCTAGTGACCCCACTTAGGTTTTCAAGGCTGTAAATGTTTATGGAAGTAGATTGCCTTATCTTCCTCCCATGGAACAGCTTGTAGGTTTGAACCACTGACCTTCTGGTTAGCAGCCAAATGTTTTACCCACTAGGCTACTACAGCTCCCTAAACTGCTATATACCATATAAATTGGGCAATAAGGAACCTTCTACAGTTAAACTAGTGATTATATATTTATTGCCTTTCAAATATCTGGAAATTGTTACTGTGTGGTATTTGGAGACCCTACTTTCCATCACACATCGTCCTATTCTGTAGACATTGTAGAATTACTAGTCTCTTTAAGCCAAAAATATTCATGGTCTCTACAGACTTATCTAGATTCTCCCTTCACATAATCAGAATGAAATAATGTGTGTGAGAATTGAAAGACCACCATTAGGAAGCTGCATGAAAGAAAGCAGAGGAGAGAGGCACTGGAATCCTTTTCTTTAAGAAAGAGTGATTCGTATTTAGCTTTATGGCTAAATAATTTACATTCACTTTCTGTACCCTGCCATCCTCAGTTTTGTAATTTTGAATTAGACAAATTAAGCTTTAAGATTCTTTCTTACCATTAAAAATAAAAATCATATGTGAAAGAGCAGCTGTCAACACCATTTTTTTATCAAGCAGACTGCTTCCAAGGAGTAGGACCAACAAATGTCCAAGGTGGGTCACTCAGTGGTTTTCAAATATGTCTTCATAACAGAACCCTGTCTTCAAACTGAGTTTCTATACAGAATCCTAATATAAGTCACTCAAGTACAGCTACTCCAGTAGCTTTGGACTAAATAACACAAGACCCAACCCCCCACCCCCTTTTCTTTGCCAGCAATTTCTGAAAGTACAAAGGACCATAGTTTAAAATGATAAATTTAGTCACCCCTAATCTTGGAAATGAATACATTTAAGCCTCAGGGCAGTTCATCTTTTGCTCCAGGTCATGCCCCTCTGCCAAGATAGCCAGAATTAGAATCCTGTTTCCTAAATCTCAATCTTAGATATCATTGCCTATGGTGGGACCAGAGAGTTTTTCCTGTAGCCACAAGCTGTGTCATAGTTCATGTGTACTTGGCCTGATGACACACATTTGGACATTGGAGAAAAGGACAGAAGGTCCTTTTCTAGGAAGACATTCCAGAATCACAAACTTTTGTACTTGAAGGGACTTTATGGACAAAGTCAGCCTGGCTTCTCATTTGTAACAGGAAAAAACTGAGATCCAGAATGGTTGCACTTTGACCCAAATTGTGTAGTTTGCTTAATGGCTCACAGCTGATTGTTCAACACAGAGAAGAATGAGGTGCAACTCCAACAGGAAACCATATTACTGCAGAGTTCTCCTGTGTTTATCTGATGTATACAAGCACAATTTGGAGACAATCAGTAGTAGGCTCTGTATTTTTGGAAATGAAAGCCTGACTCTAATCAAGAACGTAACAACATCAGTAAGAAAAATGTGGTATTGAGTTGGAGAACTAAAAATAGAGTTTTGGCTAATCCCAGACTTCACCACATGCAGTTGCTTCCTTCAGGACAAAGTTCATGAATATGCAGTATGGACAACAGCCAATGACTTCTGTACACATCAATTCTAGGAAATAACATGGCCTGCACTTGCCTCATGAGCTAAATTTTTATCTGTGTACTACAATTTCCTTAAGACATCTCACTGCATTTCTTGTACTTGGCATGTGTTTTAACGAATATATTTTAATTTCAATGACTAGAAGGTCTTCCCTATCATTAAATATATTTTTATGTAGATGGGCATCTAAGTAGCCAAACTCACCAAATCTGATCCTTTTCTCTAGCCCTAAGGAAACTTTAGGGAATTCTGGTGATGTAGTGCCTAAGGCATTTGACTGCTAACCAGAAAGTTAGTGGTTGAAACCCATTAGCCACTCCACGGAAAGAAGACTGGGCAATCAACTTCTGTAAAGATTTACTTCCTTGGAAACCCAGATGGGGTGGTTATGAATCAGAATCCACTTGATGGCAGTGAGTTTGGTTTTTGGTTTAAGGAAACTTTGACCTAAAATTCTCACCATTAACATTCTTAGAGGCCTAGTATTCCTGTAGAATGACACATGGATACAGATCTTCCGGGTTCATTGTTAATCTTCCTTTCAAAAATAGAGTTAAGAAATTCAATTTTTCTTGTTGTTATTCTCATGTCCTTGCCTTTAGGAAAGGACTCACCAGTAGAAGCTATGTGGGCTGTATCAAAAACCTGGAAATATCTAGATCGACTTTTGATTTACTCAGAAATTCCTATGGAGTGAGAAAAGGCTGTATGCTGGAGGTATGAAGCCTCTTATTAATAGTGGAATGAGTTTCTATAAATGCCCATTGATTTATCAACTTGATAACATAACAAAGCAGAAATTAGTGGAGAGGATAAAAAAAATGAGAGAGAGAGAGAGAGAGATGGGTAAAACAGGCAGTAACATCAGTCTGGGAGACTAAACATCTACATGGGAGCTGATGGGGTTTTTCATCTCCTTTGTGACCAGCCTATCCGGAGTGTTAGCTTCTTGAAAGGTGGCTATGTTGAGTTGCCACCCAAGTCTTTGTCACTGGAATCAGAATTGTTGGCAACATTTGCCACCAAGAACAGCAGTGGCCTCATCATGACTGGCCTTGGCAAGGACATGGAGAGGCAGAGCCAACGGCAGACACACTTGGTGAGTAGCTCAAGTACTGGCCAGCCTCAGGCTTGGGTAGGAAATGACTCCCAGAAATGTGAAAGGGAAAATTACTTAGTCATAACATTTATGGTAGCTCTGTTCCCAATTGTTTCTAGATATGCATTTTTAATAAGTAAAAGTTATTGTTGCTGAATGTCTTCCCGTTGTGAATCAGTGATTTTGTTGTTGTTGTTGCATAATGCATCTTCCTGGTCTAGATACTGAGAAAAATAGATATTTGCTGTCTACCCTTAATTTAAAAAAATTCATTTAGATAGCATTTCTGAGTTCCTCCACATTTCATGCCCATTGCTCTTCATCCTAAGGCTGAAACAGCAAGTCTTTAGATTCTGTACAGTTCTTTAGTATGCTCCATGAAGCAGACTTTTCTTTATCTACTTGCTGTGAGCTGGAATTGATTTGATGGCAGTGGGTTTGGGTTTTTATTATAGGACTGAAAGGATCAGAAAGAGAAATGTGGCCTTCAGTACAGTGGACTGGCAGTAGGAGAGAAGAGAAAAGATGGTCTTTTTTATATTTATATTTCATTCCAGCCACATATGGATATTTACCTCCTCCCTGCTCAAACTTGCGTGTATCACATAATTTAAATGAACTTTCCAAAAAGCAAACCCACTGCCATCAAGTTGATTCCATCTCTTGGCAACCTTTTAGGACAAAGTAGAACTGTCCCACAGAGTTTCCAAGGCTAGAAATCTTTATGAAAGCAGACTGCCTCATCTTTCTCCCAAGGAGTGGCTGGTAGGTTCAAACCTCCAACCTTTCAGTTAGCAGCCAAGCACTTTAGCCAGTGAGCCACCAAGTCACTTTATAGAATGGTAATGTGCTGCTTTAATGAAGTAGAGATCATGCAACTAACATTTATAGAGTACTATCACCTACCATACAAGATGCTTCCCAGACATTATTTCTGTACAGTTATTTTACTGAGGAAGAATAGGTTCAGAGGGCCTGGTTCATCTACCCAGAGTCACACAACTGTTACCAGGTCCACTGGCCCCAAACATCTCATGAGCCTTTGTGAAAAAGGATGATGTTGACTAAGGTTGGTTTGTGGGTCCCACTAATCTTTTATTGTTGTTGTTTGTTTGTTTGTTTGTTTGTTTGTTTGTTTTGATGTGACATTTACATAACATGAAACTTACCATTTTAAAGTGAACAATTAGTGGCACTTAATACATTCAAAATGTTGTGCAACTGTAACCGCTACCTAGTTCCAATACATTTTCATCACCCCAAAATAAAATGCTGTACCCATTAAATGGCTGCTGTCCATTCCTCCTTCCTCTAGTCCTGGCAATAACCAATATGTCTTCTGTCTAAAATGCTGTACCCATTAAATGGCTGCTGTCCATTCCTCCTTCCTCTAGTCCTGGCAATAACCAATATGTCTTCTGTCTATCTGAGCTTACCTATTCTGGTAATTCATAAAACTGGAATCATATGATGTGTGACCATTTGTATCTGGCTTCTTTCACTTAGCACATTTTCAAGGTTCATCCAGTTGGTAGCATGTGTCAGGGCTTCATTTAATTTTCATGAAGAAATTATAGCTGAATAATATCCCATTGTATGTATACACCATGCATTATTAATTCATTTGTCCACTGAAGGAGCCACTTTTTGACTATTGTAAATACTTTCTATGTTCATAATGTTTCTGTGAACATTTTAGTACAAATATCTATTTGAATATCTATTCTCAATTATTTTTGGTATATACCTAGGGGTGGAATTGCTGAGTCATTTCTATATCTAACTTTTTGGACATATACCAACCATTTTCCTCTACCAGACTCAATACAGTTACTTGATAATCAAAGTTTCCTACTAATTTAGCAAAAAGGAATGATGGTAATCCAGTACTGGTGACATCATAAATTGTTACAATGTACTACTAAATAATATATATGAAGATAGCTGTGCAGAAATGGAAATCTTTGATATATTTAGTGATGCAGCAGAATACAAATTATGTAAACAGATTAGAAAGTAATATACAAAGCAGAAGAGTTGTGCTAGATGGTGAGATTCTTAAGAAATTGCTTACATGGTATGAATGTTCCCATATTATCTTTGTATGATGATAATTTAAAGAAATACATAGTAATGAATTTTCTATGGGCGATTCTCTAATATGAAACCTTCCCAGCCCTTCTTTGCCATCATGTTGATTGAAGGCCACATCGAAGTCCATGTTAACTCTGGAGATGGAACAAGCCTGAGAAGAGCACTCCTGCATTCTCCCACAGGCACTTACAGTGACGGACAAGAGCACTCTATCTCCCTAGTTAGGAACAGGAGGTACTGTCTGCATGGCAAGTTGTGGGGACATTTGTGTGATGTTGGTACGGTTACCTCATGAAAATTTTCCCACTGGGAACCTATGGACCCTATGCAGTGAGATAATTTGATAATTATTATGATATATGTAGCATTCAAAGTTTTTCATTAGCAATGTTTCTATAGTTTCAAAATAATTCTAAAACTTTTCTACAACACTTTCTTGGGAATCAAGTTCACCTGTTTCTAATATTTCTGAAATGTTCATAATTGAATTGCCTTAACCCTGCCCTTTCCTGAGACCCAATTTATGTCATCTTGACAGAGGATAATTCTATGAAAATCTAACATTATTTCAAGATTACTGTATATTTCCCTTCAAAACTGTAGACTAAATGTTTTATAAGCATACTGGGCATTTTATGGTTTAGGTAAACAGGTAAGAGAATAATTGTTGTTTTCGTTGTTAGTTGTTATCAGTCAAGTCAATTCTGATTCATGATGACCTATTCTCCCCCAAAAAGCAACCAAATTCAATGATATTTAATAACATTCCGTTCATTTCTGGAAAATATTTCCTTGTAAATTTTAGTCTTCAAGATTCATCTTTTTATTCACATACAATATCACGATAAAATTTATCTTCAAGAAGTCTTTATTATTCAGCAATAATTTTCTGGAATTATATATTAAAACAAAGTTATTCCTTCATTATGTTATAACATTTTTCTTTGACTTTCTCTTTTGACCTTTTAGAATTATCACTGTCCAATTGGATGAGACCAGTCCTGTAGAAATGAGATTGGGCCCATTAGCAGAAAGTAGGACAATAAATGTATCCAACCTGTACGTAGGCGGCATTCCAGAGAGTGAGGTGACATCTATGCTCAAAATGAAACGGTCCTTCCATGGCTGCATCAGAAACCTGATCTTTAACATGGAGTAAGTTTAACTGTGCTCTCAACATGTTTGTGCACTTTCTGATCTCATAATATTGAGTGCTAACACTAATTTGCAATCTAATTTTGCTGTTTCAAAGTCCAAGTTCCTGAATAACAAGTGAACCCCGTTGGTCCATCATGAAAGTGCTCCCAGATGAATTTTATTAGATTTAAAAAAATCATTGAACATTAGTGCCACAGAATTGTCAATAAACACCAGAGGTTAAAATACATTTTGACATTTAAAAGAAGGTAGAAATTGTGTGATACAAGTACCTTCTGTCCTGAGCTCATTACTTTAAAGGAGGAGCCTTTACAACTGGACTACTTGTAGCTTCAGATTAGTCATGGTTTTCCTTAAAACTATTACTGTATAACTAAGAACCAAAAGTCTCCCTCCCTGTGTGGCACAGCTGGCCCAGAGAACCCTGAGGGTAGTGGTGGTCAGGAAAAGCATTAACATGTCCCCGAGGCTGTTAATTCCTTCTGGCTCCCCTTCTGCCTTGCTGTCAGCAAGTTGACAGGACAGAAGCTGTGCTCTGATCCAGTGGTACCAGAATCTGCCTAGGAGAAGCCAAACTGGCACAAGCATCAGAAGACTGAGTTCCTCTCCTGGTTTGGACACTAACTTATCTTGTAACCATGAGCAAGTACTTGGGCCTCTCTCATGGCCTCAGTTTCTTTCCCTGTGAAATTACCTCTTAGGAAGGAGTTTGTTCTGGTTACCCAGTGCCTCTCTGACAGGAATATACCACAAATGGGATGGCTTGAACAAATAGTTTATTCTCTCACAGTTTGGAGGCTTTAAGTCCAAGTTCAAAGTGCCAGGCTCTAGGGGCTAGGTGAAAGCCCCTTGACTTTGGGCTTCAGTTCTGCCTATTGCTTCCAGCCCACTGAAGCTAGAGGGATCTCTTCACTCAGGCAGCTACTGGCTGCTGAGGCTAACAAGCCCAAGGTCGACAAATAAAATGGCACAGTCCCAATGTTACCAAACCACATGGAAGGCCATTAATTCAAGTCCATTGTAAGTCCCAAGGTCAACAGAGCTTGGCAGACTGCTGAACAATGACACAGCTACATGCAGGATCCAAGTGTGCCATAATCTAGAGACCATTCCCAAAGCTGCTGCTTATATATGGGAAGCAGACCACATCCCTAAGGCAGCTACTCAGCTGCTTGTGGTATATTCCACCATGGAGCTGATTACCAGTCTCATCATGGGGAGTACTACATCTGGCTGCCCAGCCTCTCAACAAGGCCCAGCCAAGCTGACACACAACCTTAACTACCATAATTCCACCCCTTGTCAACTTGGAACCTGTATAGATCTTCAATTGTTTAATGCCAGTCTCTGGGCTCTGCTACTGCCATCTCTCATGCTGGTCTCTCTGCCGGTATCTCTCTTTCAGTGGGCTGGGAACAGGAGGCAGAGCTGCAACCCAATGTTGAGGGGCTTTCACCCAGCCCCTAGAGCCTGGCACTTTAAACTTGGACTTAAAGTGTCCAAACTGTAAGAGAATAAACTCCTGTTTGTTTAAGGCCATCCCATTTGTGGTATATTCTTGTCAGAGCTAGGTAAAAGGAACAGAGTTCTTGAAATTTACAGTAATAAAATGTTACATTTAAGTTTAAGAATATGGTAACATTAAGCCTGGGCTAACTTATTTTTAGAGTTGGTATAATATGCTTAGTCACTCAGTTGTCTGTTCATGGTTTAATTAATTAATTAGACATCTTTATGCTCTGAAAGCCAGGAGGCTGAGAACATCAAGGACAGAAACTTTTCTGTGCTGTTCACAGCCATGTCCTTGGTTCAAAGTACTGGGCTGGATATTCAGAAAGTACCAAGAGTATGCAGGCACAGAACACTTTGCTAAGGCTGCAGAGCAAACAGACTTACAACATGTGCAATTCATGGACTCAGGGAGACAGGAAATCTGTAATCAAGAAATTACAGTGTTTTGCAGAGGCTACTGCACAGTGGTTTTGGGAACCAGAGATAGAATCTGTCCCTGAGGTAGCCCAGTCAAGGCTTCAGGAGAAGGTAACAGCTTTTGAGGAATGTTCAGGAATTTGCCAGGTGGAAAGCATGGAGATGGGCAGAAAGGTTTGGGGGTAGGTTGCCATTTCAGGCAGAAGGATCAAATAAGAGAATACACAGGATGATATGTGTGGCCTCTCAGTCACCATGCAAAAGAGTCAATTGAGTTACTGTGTTGTTGTTAGTCATTGTCAAGTCAACTTTGACACATGGTAACCCCATGAACAGCAGGAAAAAGGGTACCCATCATGTGCCATCTTCATAACTGGTATACTCGAGTCCCTTGTTGTAGCCATTGGGTATTTTGAGTGCATTGCAATGTAGGGAGTTTATCTTCCTGCACTCTATCAGAAACTATTTTGTTGTGATCCATAGGATTTTCTTTGGCTAGTTTTCAGAAGTAGATCACCAAGCCTAGTCTGTATTAGTCTGGAAGCTCCAGTTTAAACCTGTCCACTATGGGTGACCCAACTGGTATTGGAAATATCAATGGCATAGCTTCCAGCATCATAACAATATGCAAGCCACCATAGTACAACAAACTGACATACTAGTGGTGCTGAATTACTATAAAGCCATAATATTGGTTTTAATGGATTTAAATTGTTTAATAATGAAATGGCATTGGTTCATGTATTGCTTTGTAATTGTTTAATTAATTTTGAAAACACTTTCTTGTTTACACCTAGACTTCTGGACTTCACTAGTGCAGTTGGCTATGAACAGGTAGACTTGGACACGTGCTTGCTTTCAGAAACACCTAAAGGGGCTCTTGAAGGAGAGGACACTGAGCTTCCACCAGAACCTCAACCTCTACCCAGTCCTGTAAGTATGGTCTAGTCAGAAGAAAAGGACCCACTCCAGAAGGAATTACAATGGGGAACTAGTTACAAAGGTATTGGAAATGCTGGCAGAGCCAATTGGTGCAATGAGGACCAGGGTAGAAGTGGTGTCACCAGAGCCCAGGAGCCAAAGCTGCCCAGAGGAAGCTTAGTCCATGTAGAGCGGGTCCCCAAGTGCAAACAGAAACTCCTGAGAAGACAGGCCTTGCTAGAGAGCTTTTCTGAAATGAGAAGAGGGGAAGAAATACTCTGGTATCTTCCCTCCACCCCTTCCAATCTCCCACTGTGCCTTTAATTGGCAGAACCTATCTGGAAGCCATTTTCAAAGAAACCTGGGAAACATGGTTTACAGGGAGGGATCATCCCCCGGTTTTAAAAAGTGAGTCAGGGAAAGAGTGGGGAATGGTGTCTGAGCAAACTGAAAAGATGATGCAAGCCAGTATTAAGGATTTCAGGTAACAATAAGCCACCATAACTGGGTTGCCATACAACAAGGTTTTTGGTGGAGATTCTATAAGGACATCCTCTCACTTTAGATCCAGTCAAAAGAAAATGAAACTAAGTACTTAATGTAAGACTTTGTGCATGTTACTGTTGCCTTCAAAAAATGAAAGATTTGGATAGGCGGGGCAAGATGGCGAACTAGGCAGAAGGATTGCACAGACCCTCTTCAACAAAGAAAAGGGAAAGCAATTAACACAGACACAGAAGATAATCTTGGACCCCTGAGCCTTGAAGGAAAGGATGCAGAATTGGACTAAACCCCAACTAGCAGAAGAATTTGC